ATAAAATAAATGAATATAAATAAATACACTAATGATATCCCCCCAGCTGTAGCACCCTTTCAGTGCCTAACTGCCATACCATTCGAAGGAAGCATGAGGGTCGAGCTACTGTTGATCGAGATTCCGAGGTTGGGTTCGAACCACGGACATTCCGCTCAGTAGAATCGCACCTTCATCACTGGGTGGTCTCGAGCTCAGCAGTACAAGCATGACCCATCTGTCTGCGCCTTACACTGGACTAAATAGGACGATTAAAAACTGCATTCCGACGTACCACCGAGGATGCTTGATTAACGTGAGGCGATTGGTCGACTGGGGCTAACTTTTGTTTATTCAATCTCTGAGATCCGTTGAAACTGTGGTCGATTGGAATAACGGATGGCGTGTGATGAACTGCATCGGACAAGATACTGTCATCCCACCTGGTGCGGTTTGTCTTGGAGCAAGACCGCGGCGAAGACCGTTGGTTGAAAAAACGAAGGCCAAGCAAATGGGTAAAACCAGTCGCTTTTTTGAGAAGCATTAAGAAATACCTGGCAAAAGCGTACATATTTTGACAAGCCCAGCGTCAGTGTTTTTTTCTCGGAATAGCAAATGAAAGTCCCCGCACGCGTAGATATCAGTCACAACAGTTCACCTTCGTCTGTGATCCATCAAAGAACCGCTCCAGTTGACGAAACCAATCCGCACTCTCCTGAAGACGTTTACCCTCAGGGGAAGAGTTACTGCATGGGAAAAGCAGAACACTAATAATGGTTGCAGAATGCTTGAGCTCGAACCCAGCCTCGACTACTTTGTTCTACGTTTGGGTTACCTGGCAATATCTGAGAGTCGTCGCTCTTCCTCCAGGTGGTGTGAAGAGTCATGATTCGGGGGGAGGGGCTCTTGACCACATTGACCGTCAGAATGTCTTGAGGGCGTTTTTTCAGAAGGAATCGCAATGAAAACATCCCACCGAATTCGTACCCCAGGCAGAAGTTCTTCCCCAGAGGTGGGGCCTTAGTGGAGGAAGTTACGGGTTTTGCAGGTTTGCAACTCCCCCTTGAACATTTCCGACCTGAAACAAAACCGACAAGAGGACCGACAAGTGAATCTCTGGTTTGCAGCTTTCTCCAGCAGTGCACAAACACTTCCTGCGCGTGTTTCAGTTGGAACGCCAATCAAGGATGCGGAACAGTTAATCTGAACTAGTATCTTTCACAAAGTTGACGAAACGTCGCTCCAAACGCTTTGCCTTTCTTTGGACTCGAATTTTTCCACGATTAACGGAACCCAGCTGCAAGAAGGACGAGACTCATTCAAGAATCTCCGTCAGCGATATCACATCAAGAAACTCGACTGCTATTCGCCAACCAAATGTGCTGCACAAAGATGGCCTTACGTTTCACGTGGGACGATATCTGAGATATCGCGGTACCTTGTCCAAACGTAGCACACTACTCATAAGTGTGTTACAGACTAATCGACACCCCTCCTGACTGGTTTTGTCCTTCTTCAGACTTTACTTCAACTTTACTTTCTACCTTGGTACCGCATTGTACGCAACTGACGAATGAAATTCAGTTGCACAGTAATTTGGTGTTGCCAGAGCCCCCAACTGAATCTCTTTTTTGGAGTTTTCAGCAACCTTGTCCGTAATAGGTTATGTCATAAATAGATACCGAACAATCTTGGATATCGTAACCATCGAAACATGAGACGGTGTGGTACAGTTGAAAAAAATTCGACTGGATTCAGTCGAGTCACCTGTCAAAACTCGGAGACCGCGCTTACCCACCTGATAAGCCCCAAAAAAGAGCGGCTGGGAACCGATCATGGTTTGTCTGAGAGTTTTCAGCGACCCAATGAGTAGTGTGTTCCGTCTTGACAATGTACTGGAATATTTCGAATATCGTTCAAACTGGAAAGCAAGACGTCCTTTGTGTAACATATTCAGTTGGAGAACATCATAAACGAGTATTTCGGTCGAGACTCGCGCTAACGGGGGTGCAGCGAGAACACGAGTATGCCTGCCCAGTTGTGCGCTCCCCGTTAATTGTCCGACGTTGAATGAATGAAACGTTTCGCGCATACAACTGTATCCATCTGACTGCGAAAACAAAGCCTATTCACCCCCCGTCTGTTCCAGACAGAACGCCACGTAACATCTGGGCTACTTAAAGACCAGGCGATAGAATGAGCCAGGAAAAAAGCGTGTTTCGTCAAATCGTTCCGCGTGTTTCACGGTGATAACAACACGCTGGCCATTTCAATGTCTGCCTGTATGCGCGCGTGTTTGGTGTTGGCCGAGCGGTGTTTTCAATATCGCCGTGGCTGTTTGGTGTGCGCAGCCCAGAACAATAAAACAGTTCGCAGTGCTAACACTGAATTAGTGAGCGAGCGAGCGAGTGGCTGTTTTGAACTGTTGATTGTTCCAAAACAGTTGTATAGGTCTCATTTTTACGATCGTCACGGGATGGTTATGCAATTGTTCGTGTGTGTGTATGTGTGTGTGTGTGTGTGTGTGTGTGTATGAGCCTTTATCTGTCTGCGGATGATGATGACTTGAGATAAACTCACTCGTGAAGGCAACAGTCAACTGTGAGGAGCAGTTTATCACCTGTATGGATTGACCACGTTCGCAATGTTGAATGCTCCAAATGACGCAGGTATTATCATCTTGGTAATAGTTTTGTTTAACTATGCGCGCGGGTTTATGTGTGAGCTCACGTGATGTTTTTCACAGTCAACAGCAGTTTCCTCGGGTCGGTTCAGACGACTCTCCGATGTTGGCGAAGTCGTCGGGACCACCAAAGGCAAGCCGAACGAACGACATGATCTCGTGCGGCTGGCAATCTTTTCAACTAGCATGAGGACACCACTCATCGGATTACTGAAAACTCATTGAGTAGTTTTCTTCATGAACATATACTGCGATGTCTGGAATATCGTACTGACTGAAATATGAAGCGGCTTCTATACAGCACATTCAGTTAAAAACCTCATATAAGGGAGGTTCATTTGAGTTCCAGACGAACTTCTCGGGGAGTCCAATTTTGTACGTAAATGAGCGTTTGTCGAATAAAGTGTATCGTGTTCTAGATGGAACGTACTACTCATAAATCTACTGATGAAGCTCTTGAGGCAATGAACACGGGCCATGTTCAAGATATCATGGTATATTGACATCGTTCAACCTCCAGTTCTTGCAATGTCTCCGGCCAAGCGCAGAGGCAGAACGGGAGCCTTACATTGGAAGATGTACTGTACCAAAAAGACCTAAACTATTCTTAATCTCTTTCACACCTCGCGCCATCTTGAAGGAGAACAACACTCGTTTCGGTAGACGATGTTTCGGCATGTTCGGCCGAAGCACCGCAGTTGATTGTGGCGTTGGCTTGGTTCGCTGAGTTGGGCGATTTGGTTGCAAACGTTTCATCTTCAATCGAGGTGACATCATCAGTGCGTAGTTGTG